GGACGAAGCGGGTACCAACCCAGACGGCGGAAGCGCCCATCATGAGGGCGGAGGCGAGAAGGGGACCGCTGTGGATACCACCGGCAGCGACAACGAGAACCTCCTTCTTGGTGAGGGGAGAGATGGCACCCTTGCAGGCCTCAACGACGGCGGGGATGAGAATAGTGGTGGCGATGTCACCGGTGTGACCACCACCCTCACCACCCTGAGCGCAGATGATATCGACACCGAGGTCGAGGCACTTCTTGACGTGCTTGGGGTGGCCGATCATGTTCATGTAGACGATGCCGTTGGCGTGGAGCTTGTCGACGACGTGCTTGGGGGGAACACCGACGGCGGAGACGAAGAGCTTGGCACCGGACTCGATGATGATGTCGACGAGCTCGTTGAGCTTGCCCTTGGTGTAATCGTAGCTGCGCGCGGGGAACCCTGGTTAGCTGTTGTTCGCCAAGAAATGCGACTGTAGAAGTGGTTCAGAAAGGAACTTACTTGGTCTTGCGGGCGTTACCACCGACCTGGGGAAGGAGGAGATCGACACCGAAGGGAGCGTTCTTGTCGGTAAGATGGGACTTGAGCTCCTCGATCTGGTCGCGAAGCATGTCGGGAGTGTAGTTGATGCCACCGAGGACACCGAGACCACCGGCGTTGGTAACAGCAGCAGCCAGCTTGGGGCCGGCGGCGACGTTCATACCAGCCAAGAAGATGGGGTGGTTGATCTTGAAAAGATCGGTGATGGGAGTGCGGATCTGCTCTGTTGTCGTGGCATTGTTGTTAGTCTCTGTGCTCTCAGTTGTCATTGCGCCCGTGATGCGCCTTGGAGACGGAGATGTCGATGGACAGATGCGACTTACGAGGAGAGGCCATTTTGAAGGATGTGGTGTGTGCTAACAACTAAAAAACAGTGGTATCACTTGCAAGAAGAAAAAGATGAAGACGCAAGGGAAAGAGCAAAAAGACTCGAGAAGACAAAGGGCGGACTGGTGATGTTTTGAATGGGAGTCGGAAGAGGAGGTCAGGTGGAAGGAAATCCGGGGATCTTGAATGTCGACCTGGGGCGACGTTGCGAGGAGGCGTCGTTGGCCAGACATGTGCCGAGGTTCCCTGTCATGGGGAGCGCTAGTCCGTTTCCAGGCACTATTACAGCGTCTGGGGTGCGGTGACAGCGGGGCCGTCGTGCGGAGGTGTGCGACCTGTACCGAGGCACCGTCTACCGTTTTCCTGTACAGTCAATTGGGATGCCGATATGACAATGGCTCGGATCTCTTAAGTGATGTTCAAAACACTCCAAGATGATGGATGGACGGGTATGTACATAGTATACGTAGATACTAATGCAATCTATACTGTAATACCGATATGCGCACTCGACAATGGCATCAACCGGCATCAGGCAAGACGTGCTTGTCCCAGGTGAAGCATGTTAGTTGGACATTAAATTGTAGCCTCCGTCCCCATAACATCGTCATCTGTCCCCTCATCTTCCCCGTTCCCGCAATTGAATTGAAAAAGGGAACCTGGTCAGGGCCTTCGGAGAAAGTTCGACCCCAGATTTCTCGAACAAATGTTGTGGAACCTTCCCCGATGCAGCATCGTTTAAAAAGACGTTGGTTGACGACGAACCTCGGAGCGAAGATGCGGCGACCATAACCGCAACAAACTCCAATCGAGAGATCGTCCACGGCAGAACCTCATCCATAAACCCTAACCCTCTCCCCGCTTGACGCCATCGCGTGCGTCAATGCACCCACCCAAATCTGCAATCTTCAAACGAAAGGCCCACACAAATTATCAAAGATTGGAGTCATTCTTCAGCCCTACCATGAAGCGATTCCCAACCGTCTCCTCTGCGACCTGGCCATTGACCTGTCAGCACAGGCTTCTGACAACCCGATTGCTCTCCAGTCGAGCACAACTAATAATCACAACATCATCAACATCATCAACACGCACACCACAACTCCCAATCGCTAATCCGAAATCGGAACGGACTTTTCACTCAGTATCAACTCACTTCTCAGCATTGCCTTTCAAAAAGTACACAATGCCTCCCAAAGGCAAAATGACGGACTCAATTGACCTCCCGGCGTCTTCCAAGCCCGCCGCTCCCACGGTGCGCACTGCTTACATCGCCCTGGGCAGCAACCTCGGCGACAGGATAGGATGGGTCGAAAAGGCTTGCAAGGAGATGGATGCCCGCGGTATCAAGGTTAAGCGGACCAGCTGTCTGTGGGAGACGGAGCCCATGTACATCTTAGACCAAGATAGATTTGTCAATGGAGCATGCGAGGTCGGTGCCATTTCCACTGTCCTCATCAAAAACCTGTGATATCAATACTGAACCTTCACTCTCAGGTTGAAACCACTCTAGAACCCCTTGAGCTTCTAGACGCACTTCAAGATATTGAAAACTCCCTTGGTCGCAAGAAGATTATTGACAAGGGTCCCCGTAACATTGACCTCGACATTCTTCTCTACGAAAACCTTGCGTTCGACCATGAACGTCTCAAGATCCCTCACATTGGCATTCCCGAGCGCGAATTCGTCCTCCGGCCCTTAGCAGAGTAAGCCTTCACTTCACTCTCCTCACCTCTTCCCCACCATTTTTCCCATATGTCCCAGACTAACACCTCACAAAAGACTCATCCCCGACAAACCCCTCGACCACACCCGTCCCTGGACCCTCACCCGTGACCTCCTCGACGCCCTCCCCCCTTCCCCAACTCCCATCACCACCATGACCCCGCTCTCCTCCCACGGCCACCCGCCCATCCAAGCCCTCAACCCCTCTCGCAAGACACACATAATGGCCATCCTCAACATGACCCCCGACTCCTTTTCCGACGGCGGCATGCACGGCTCCTCAACCCTCGAATCCACCATCCAATCCTTCCTCGACGCCGGCGCCACCATGATCGACGTAGGCGGGCAGTCCACCGCCCCTCGCACCCCCCAAGTTTCCTCCTCCGAAGAGATCGGCCGCGTCGTGCCCGCCATCAGGATGATCCGCGAAAAGTTCAGCAGTCGCGACGTGCTGATCAGCGTCGACACGTACCGCGCTTCCGTGGCGGAGGCGGCGGTGGCGGCCGGTGCGGATATCGTTAATGATGTTTCGGGCGGCAGCATGGATCCGGATATGTTGCCTACTGTTGCCAGGCTGGGAAGCACCATTTGTTTGATGCACATGCGCGGGACGCCGGCGAATATGTCTTCCCTCAACGAGTACCCTGAGTCCGAAGGCGGGTTGATCGGGGGAATTGCGAGGGAGCTGGTGGGGAGGGTGGCGGCTGCTGAGGCGGCGGGGATTAGACGCTGGAGGATCGTGTTGGACCCCGGGTTGGGCTTTGCGAAGGTCGGACCGCAAAATGTCGATGTTTTGAGGCACTTGGAGGAGTTGAGGACGTGGCCTGGATTGCAGGGGTTGCCGTGGCTGGTGGGATCGAGTAGGAAGAGCTTTATTGGGCAGGTGACGGGGGTGCCGACGCCCAAGGAGAGGATTTGGGGCACGGCGGCGACGGTCGCGGCTGCGGTGCAGGGTGGAGCAGATGTGGTGAGGGTGCATGATGTCAAGGAGATGGCGCAGGTGGTTGCTATGGCTGATGCTATTTGGAGGTATTAGGCTTGGTGTTGGTGGTTTGGTTTAAAGTGTGTTTATGATGGGTTTTTAACAGCATTGTGGGCAGGTTCAACAGCATGTGGCCCTTGGTATAGATTCGGATATTAGCATGTTGATGTTGATGACATAGGTAAGTATGTCATATATCGCGCGAAAGACTTTTAGAAAATGATCAAGATGGAAGGGAAAACTTAACTCAGCAGCTCTGGACAGGACATTTTTCAGTTGCATAGTATGTTTGCTTTTGGCTCGTTTGATGTGCACCCCGATGACCATGTTCACTCCCGGTCTTTGACTTTGAATGGCGCATTTCACATAGAACCACTCAAGTACGAGTAGCTGATGTGTAGCAAAATCTAACATGCCTTTTGTAGGCTATAAAAGCGTTCGGTAAAGTGTTTTACCAGAAAAGTCATTTGTTATGCTCCAAGAACAAGAATCCTGACTCGAGACAAGCAATACGATTATAAGCTCCACTCCCGGTGAAATCTTTAACAATAACGATAGGTCCGATGGTGTAGTTGGTTATCACGTTCAGTCTAACACACTGAAGGTCCTGAGATCGAGCCTCAGTCGGATCATTATCAAACAATCTTTTTGCATTTTTTGCAGATGCATCTCCCTTTCAGGCATCACCTTCGCTGTAGTTTCCTTTTTTATTTGACAGCTTAATCCTTATCTCCCTCCCTCTTTCCACTTTTTCCCCACTTGTTTTTCTCTCTCTCTAACTCCTGTTCCCATCCAGTTTCGTTTTTTCGGTGTGCATCACGGAAGTGTTGCTTTTGATATTTGTTTCCTATATTGAGTTGATGCATGTCCTTCTCCAAACCACCATCATCCATCAAATACTGTCGAAAGTCATGAAAAAGATACCCAGAAGTACCTAGACCAATTTTCTTTCCAAGTACCAGTTTCCTCCTGAAAATACTGAACAATTGCAGTCAGTTTCACCCAGTGACCACTCCAACCATCACACCCTCATCCAAGCCCCCCATCTCCAGTTCTCAACAACCATGCGAAAAAGAAACGAAAACAAAACCCAGGCCATCATCACGCCTCCCTTCCAGAAAATGGCAGCCCCCAAAAGCCCCCCGGACCGACTACAACACGCCTCCGACGACGAAACGCCCCAGTAAAAGTCATCGAACACTTCGAAACCATCCAACCAGCGCCTCCCCTGTTTCCCCCATGTACGCTCCCGGTGTACAACATCAAACTAGCAGTCTAGTGAGGACCATGACGGCAGGAGGCGGCAGGAGACGGCTGGAGGCATGTCTCTGATCTGAAGCCACACAACAACAAACAGCTCGCAGTTTACTTCCAGTATGTATTCACTGACATATCCATCTGGTTACTTACTACAGCCTCCTCGCACTGCAGGAGGAGGATGGGTGTGTGATGAGTGGATGGTAAGACCAGCAAGCCGCGAGATTCGCCGAGATAAAAGGTACTCAGGCTCCGGGTTATGATGGTGGGCAGAGAGAGGAGAGGATGCAGAGAGCCCGGAAAGCGGAAGAGGTTAGCTAGGGACACTCCACCACCACCACCACTCTTTCTCTTCAGGGCATCCTTCACCATCTTTACATGCTTTTCCACTCCGAAATCCAGACATTAACTCTCTAGATCTCGCCAGGTATCTTAAAGTACCGTTGTCCATACCGGAAAACTCACCAACCCACTCTCCACCTCTCCAGCAGCCAGCAGCCAGCAGCCAGCAGTCAGCATCCTGCCCGTTGCAAACCCTCATCGATTCCCCTCGGCGAATTTCCCACTCAAGCAACCACTAAAGCAGTTATCCACTACACCTCTTTCCGCATCCTCCCTCTTCATATTTTCTTCCCTCTGCCCGAGTCGATAATATCCCACCATCCACCATCCATGACCAAGAACAATGTCAGCCTCAGGCTTACAAGACTTGAAGCCATCCATCCTGAATGTCCACGGGACACCCGCCTTCGGATCTTGAGCCGTGTCCGTGAGCTCGTCATGCTCGTGTGTATTTTATCGGGTATACGCTTCGCTTCTGTGTCTGAGCGGGTGCCGCCGGGGTCCCCAAGTCCCCAAGTCCCTATCCCACTTCCGCGCTATTATTGATCTTCTAGTTTCTAGTGACTTCAAAGCCATTGTCAGCAACCCCCCAGCAACCCTCCAGCAACCGTCCTCCAGCACCCATCCAGCAGAGTCCTCCTGAGTCCTCCCGAGTGACATCCTCCATCATGTCCGTCATGCTTGTGCCTCTTGCTTGTGCCTCTTGCTTGTGCCTCTTGCTTGTTCTCTCTCTCTATTTTTTCTTCTTCTTTTTTTTCCCGTCTCCATCTGATCCTCGTCCCCAAACCCTTTTGCTTCCGCATCTTCCCTGTCTTCTTTGCCATTCCTCCACCCCCCCTCCCCTTCCCTCCTTTCTTTACGTTCCCTGTCTTGTTCCCATGCAGTGTTACCACGACCAACGAGACTAACGAACTTCTTTGTCCACTCTTGTCTCATCGACATGTACAAACCCGAGAAATAGGCGAATGCGGTCTAGTTCAAGTGATACAGATTTTTCACTTGTTGTCGAAGATGACCAGTGACTGGAGATCTTTGTCATGAGTCTTCATCGTAAGCCTCTGTTGTAAGCTTTGGATCGGTGCGCTGGTTGAACCAGGCTGTCGGCTAGCAAATTTGTAATCTGTGAATAGGTAATGGGCGGAGAACAAACTTGAAATTCACTTGCCAAGTCAGCACCAAATCCAAGTCTTGAAATTGCAAACCGAGTGCTGGCTGACCTGGGGAATACAAGCAACACGCCAGTGTCACTCGCGTGTCGGTGAGACAAAAACATTGGAAGGGGAACCACGCGTCCGTAGATGTGTTTCTGCCTGTCATCGATAAGAACACAAGATCACAGGCGCCTGTTGAACGACAGCAAGATATCAATGGAAGTCCCCTATAGGGAAAGTTTCACAGTGTTGCGCAAAAAGTTGACATGTTATTGACTCAAGGGAAAATTAGGAACAAGAATATTATGGTGCCTTTCGAACGCAGAAAAGACAAACAAAGTAAATCACTCAAAACGCCTCGAGGGTCAAGCCCTGGCGGTATATCTCCTTTTCACCAGAAGCATGCATACAGAGAGATACCGTGAATGCATGTGTATGTGGTCCGTCTTTCTTATCAACGCAAACGGACAAAGCCGCCATACTATACTGCCTTCCCACTCCTTTTCGCCTACAAACACCCCAAACCCCCCGAAAAAAAGGAGCACATCAGAAAAAGTAACCAGTGCCTATTCGCCCCGAGCGTCCAATGTAAATCCTGCGCTCAGTAACGTAACGTGGAGAAACAGAGTTATGTCCAGAGTCTAACAAGCATCCCAACTTTGCACACAAAAAAAAATTTGAGGGAGCCACCATGGCGATTTCGGTCTGTCGTGTCTCATATCTCGTAGTAAAGCAATAGTGCCTTTGAGCTACCGGTAGATATCCGGTGAAGCCCTTTCAAGTAGTCCAAAGGCTTGATTCCACAGCGAGGGGTTTAGAGAAGGGCGGCGAGACCGGCAGCAACCAGGAGGAAGGCACCGGCGGGCTTGGCAACGCTGCCAGCGCCAGTGGCAATCTCCGACTGCGTGGGCTGGGGAGAAACAACCACGACGGAAGTGCTGTTAGCACCAGAAGGTGCGCCGCCAGTGGGGATGAGGACGATAGAGGAAGAGGACACAACGGGGATGGTGATGGCGGCAGCAGACGAGGTGGTGTTCAGAGCGACTGAGAGAGTCGAGAGAGGAATGACGGACGAGGAGGTGCTGGTCGTGGTAACAACGACGCTGCTGGTAGTAGTGGTGCTCACGACAGTGCTGGAAGTCGAGGTGGAGGTGGCGACCGAGGAGGTGGAGGTGGCAACCGAGGAGGTCGAGCTGGTACTGGTAGAGGTGGAGGTAGAAGAGATGGCCTCGGCGGTCTGGGAGACAAGGCCGGATTCGACACCGTAGGCGGCGGCGCACTCCTCAAGGCCCATGCCTTCGGGGCAGCACCAGGTCTCCTTCTCATTATCGGCAGCGCAGTAGTAGCCAGCATCGCACGAGCCTGAAAAAGCCTAGTCAACATCATGGTCTCTCGCGATCGCCTGTCAACATGTCGGGGCAACTTACTTCCAGAAGCATTAGGGCAGCAGATCTGAGCGGCGGCGGGGTTGTAGCAGTGGACAGAGTCGTCCTTGGAGGCGCAAGTCTCGAAACCAGCACCGCAAGCCTCGGAGCAGGTGTTGCCGGAACCGCAGACGGTCTGCTCGGGCTGGTATCCGGGGTTGTCCTGGCGGCGGACGACGCCGAACAGCTGACGGACCGAGGTCTTGTGAACCTTGTTGGCCCTGTACGGGGTGCGGATGATGGGCTCGGCGACGGCCTGAGCGGCGAGGGCGAGAGCCGCCAGAGCAGTGAAGGACTTGACAAGCATTTTGGCTGATTTGTGTTGATGAATTTCGCGATCGAGTAAAGACGGTCGGTCGGAGGAGTCGATTAGATATTTAGGACGCGTGCGTCGTTAATAGTGCTGTCACGTAGGTGATGCTGAGAAACGAATGTCGTAGAGTAGCGAGACTCTTTGTTTGTTTGTATGTATGTAGGGAGCGGCAGGTTCTTCAAACGAGAACAAGATGAAGGCGAAATTGAATCAGAGGTTAAGGCGAAAAAGAAGAGGAGAAACAAAAAGGAGTGTGATGGAGAGAGAGTGGATGGGGAATCAAATATGAATCCACGCACCAACAAAGAGGAGTCAAGCTACCGACGGCGGGCCTGGGGGGGAGCCTGCGCAAGCCTGGGACCGCCTGGAAAGGGAAGCTGGCGACCGCTGGAAACCTGGGGGGAGGGGGGAAGGAGCCACTTTGGGGGGAAACGACTGGGCCCTCTTTGGCTGCTACCTGCTTTGTTACCCTGGCAAGCGCCCAGAGGTACCCCTACACCAGCAACTTGCGGTGAGGATACTTGGCCGCTTGAGGTGCACAAGCATCCAATCTCCTTAATCTTAAGATTGGGCGCCCAGAAGTGACGGGGTTCCCTGCGTTCGGCACCTCTTTCCAGTCGTTACCCAATCGTCGCGTCGCCCACTGAACGGTACCTGCGTCTGGGTGTGCGTTGTTCCTGGCAGGAAGCAGCCCTTCAAAGCATCTCGAGCCTCCCTTTGGACCAAACAGCAACCGAGCAGCAAACCCAAGCAACCCTCGCAGCCGCCCCGCATCATGGACTTTTTTCTTTCTTTCTCTTTCCCTCATCTCAATCTGCAGACATGTGCTTGCTTCACGTGGCGTTTGTGCACTTACTTCAATTCCGGGTGCATGACGCTTGCTTGTCAAATCTCATCGAGGTCAGAACTCTGAATGCGCCTTATTTGCGCATGCCGATGAGCCCTTATTTTATCATCACCTCCTCCTCCCTCCCTTGACTCTACTGCCCCTGACCTGGACCTTCTTCCACTTGGAAGTGATGATGGATCAGGTCACTTCACCATCAAAGAGCAAATAACCGGGCGGGGGCCAAGAAGGGCCGGCTGTGGTTGCTAGACTCGACCAAGCCAGATCGTCGCATTGCGCAAATGAAGCATCCGGCGGGCGGGACGCTGGGCCAGTCTGGCACAGCTCTGGCAAATAGCGCGACGCCGTCTGAAATTTGTCTTCATGCTCCCGAGCATTATCGGCCGTGTTAACCTGTTCCGTGATGGACTCTTTTACATTTCTGCCTTCGTCCTCTCTTCAATTATGTTCCGGATTCACGGGCGTTGGCCACGGTGTAGATTAGTTGACACCGGATGACACGGAGAGCACCATGATGTCCAAATTGACGGTCAGTGATTGACAGTGCATATCCTCGTCGGTTGCTCCCGCCGTGCTCCATTGTCAAATGTCATTGAGGAGCGATCATCATGAGGTGGAATGTCGCCGCTGCCATTGTTTGCTTTTGTTTTCCGGGAACAAGGAATGAAAGGAAGTCGATGTCAACATTGCGAAAGTACCAGAAAGAGTATCCCCCCTCTCCCACTTGGTTGGTAACTGTTTCTTTCAGTTGCAGTGCAGTGTTTGAACTGGAATGAGGGTTGCGGCGCATAGAGTGCCCATTGGTTTCTTGGAAATTGTTGCTTGGGGTCTGGTCTTTTTTCCTCTTTCTCTTTCTCAGGCTCGTCAGGGTCGCGACCAACAATCGTGAGCTCAGGCACCGCATTCTGATTGGCCACTCTTTCCGCTTTTTTCCACCCGTTTCAGAAAAGATCCCCCATGGCCTGTGCTTCCTGCATTTCGGCGCTGACAAGGATCTTCCTTTCTTTCTTTCTTTTCCTTTTCACCCGAAGTCCCATGAAAGCGCGGGGTGCAACTTTTTTGCCACAAAGAGCTCCCTCGGCTATTCCAGCCACACGTTGAATGCTTCAGTCACCATTCACCAACGACCAACGAGCAACCACAGCCAACGCCTTCCCTAACCAACGCCCAAAACAAGCGCCGGTGACCGGGATGCCCCGCGCTTGTCATGACATGCCGACTGCTCGTTGGATGATGGTCTTCAATACCTAGGAATCAGCCAACAGGTTCACCAAGGACTGGCTTCCACTTCCCAGCTTCGAACCACAAGTCATTCATCATGCCGTCGACTGTTGTTGCCGAACCCTAATTCTGGAATCTGGTAACCGCTCTGAAACCCGGGGATCAGCCAGCATTTCCTCCATCTATTATTCCACGTAATCATTGACATACCTGTGGTTTTCACAGTCCGGAACGACGTCACCAAAAGCGGAGGTTGAGCAAATAACTGAAAGTATCCCGTCGTCAGAAAGCCGGAGCCGATAAAGGCCCGCACTCGGTACCTCGCATTCCCATTGCTGGGATAAACAAACCCATAGCTTTCACACGCCACAATCCCATGGAGCTCGTTCGTTTCTGCAACACCACACTCACCTACGCCCTCAACACAACCAAGGAATCACTCAGCAACACCATACTTTCACTGATAGGAAAGAAGTACATCAAGCTACCCTAACTTCTTATTCACCAGTTCCAACAATGAATACCATGAGTAATCCGACTTCCTGCTGCCTCGTGGGAGCACTTATCATGACTACTAATGGGCGAGGTAGTAAGAGCATCTATTGAGGCACTGCATATACAGAAACACGAATAACTGGTGGGACAAAATGATCAGAACTGAAAACCCTCCCGCACACCAACCAGGAACGAACGCTCAGAACCAAGTTCGACTAACAGCCCAGAAGACACCCTCCCCCCAACTATCATATGTTCAGCGTTGTTGAAACGGTGCCCATAAGCTTGCCCCTGGACTACCAGCCAACCCCAGCCACATACCGCCAACGTTCTCGTCCATCAACAGGTGAACTTAGCAGGCACCAGGGTCGGCGCTAAAAAAAAAAAAAAAGCATATATGGGTCAGCCAAGCCATCATTAAAACGACTCCTTCCGTTGTCATGACACAAAAAGACTCCGGCTTAATTATTCAAGTTTACTTACCGGAAGCGCCAACCGCTGACAGTCGACTGGCCGCCCCTATCACAGCCATTGATCTCGTTTTCCAAGCGGATGGTGCATTCGTTGTTGTTGAGATCGGAGTTGCCCTCGTTGGGGGTGAGGTTCTGGACCTCGAAGAGCAGACCCATCCCGTTGGATTTGGGGCACATGGCCTTGGTTTGCCCCTTCCAGTAGGTGCCGGTGAACATTCCGCCGTTGTTGTTGCAAGCGTCAATGACGAATCGCCGGGCTTGTTCCTTGTTGGGCCACTTGTCGCCGGAGCCGTAGCAGGTGGCGGAGACGTCCTGGACGGCAAGGAGCATGCTGCCGAGGGCGAAGAGGACGGATTGGGTCTTCATGGTGAAATGGGAAGAAAGATCAAGAAGTGTTAAGGTGGGTGAATGGCTGTAGCTGTTGTGTTTGTTGCTTGTGTGCTGATGAGATGAGATGAATAACCAGAAAGAACAGCGGGAAGTCCCTCTTTATACCCAGTTGGTGACGGTGAAGTTAACCTTACTTGAACAACTTCTTCATCTATCCGACTCTTCATGATGGCGTTGAAGTCCGAATGGAATGCGAGCTTCACCACTACAGTAACAGTAGAACCCTAGGAGCCTAGGTTCTTAGACGCTACCAATGCATTGTCCAGGACGCAACGCAACACTATACTATGCATCTACCTAATCAGATGCATTTCTACCTTCTACCTTACCTAATGCCAATACTCTCCATAGTAAACCTATTCTGAGAGCGAGGAAGGATGCGTTAATCTTCGAGTCCGCGCCTCCTCCTTCTCCATACAATAACAACAACAACAACAAATGATACGCACGGCAGTAGTGCGTAGTACCATTGACACTTGGACAGAAACCGCGGGAAGTAGGGCAGGGGTTCAGAGTTGAAGTCTAGTACTTTTGCACACAAGTCAAGTTAAGCGAAGTCAGATCAAATCTAGGGGACAGGTGGTGTAAGAAATACCGAGTGCAGGTTAACGCTTACTGCTGGCTTGTAGAGACCTACCACTTGTCAACCCATAACACGCCCTCCAGCTCTACTCTAAAAGGCCTGAACTCATTATCGGTGTTATGACTTAAGACTCTAGGCAAAACCTCATTTCCGACCAAATCCATCATTTATCTCGTCGTTGTGATGACTTTTCGTGGAAAGCAAGTCAAGCCAGTAGTAAGCGGTAACTTGCACTCGGTATTTCTTACACCACCTGGGGGACCAAGTTGATTCGACTTGAATACGGCTTAGCCCGTATGCAACATTGGTTCAGACCTCGGTCCAGGTGCAAGTCCAATGCCATGTTGCGAGCAATTACCATAGCTGTTTGGGTCCGATGCTGCTGCCAAGGCTGAGTCCGAACTGTCCTATACTAACAACTTGACAAGGCTGAGTCCGAGTCCGATATTAATGTGACGCTTTATCCATACAGTATATGTAGTGCAGCCGAGTTGTTCTTCGCCTCGAAGCTACAGCAAGTCGTATGTAAGGATCCAATGGAGCCTCATCGCCTCATCGGCTCATGATCATCCAGCGAGCCAGTCAGCCAGGGGTCGTGACTGGACATGTCCGACAGCCTTACGTATCATCGCGGCTGGGCAGAACTGGTCTAGTGTACCGCTGTTTGAGTCTCATTCAAGCTCGGATTCATCCCCTACGCTGCCTCGGCTTGACTGGCTGCCTGTTTTGGCCTGTCAGTTCAGTCAGTTCAGTTAGTTAGTTAGTTAGTTAGTTCTTGAATGGTATGCTGCAATGAGCTTGCATGCACTACTGCGTACTGCGTACAAACATAGTGTACATGCCTAGTTGAGGCGTTGTTTAGCATTGACAAGTCCTTTCGCTTTTACTAAGCAGATACCTTAGTGATTGGCCGTAAAAACGAGGGGAATGAGTCCAATCCGACCACCCGAGCGAGTAGCGAGTCTTTGCGAACGGTACACTAGACTCAATGAGTGTAGTCGTTCTACTACACTACCGTGACTACCTTGGTTGCTTGGCTCGCTTGGTTGGCAGCGGGACAGCCTTGTCTACCGTGCGTGGTCTACCGTGGATACTACCTATGTAGTGTACCATTCAGCATACACTGGAAGTTAGTGTATTCTAGACTCTAGGTAGAGTATCATTGCCAAAAAAAAAAAGAAGACGAAAACAAAGAATGCGATCTGACCAATTATCCGCTTCTTCAGGCAAGTACCTAGGTAATGTTCTCTTCTCCGCCAAATAAATATAAATTTTTAATTTAAAATCTTTTTTTTTTAATTTTTTTTATTTTATGACCCATCACCTTCGTTAGTTACGATGATGATGATGATGATGATGATGATGACGGGGAAATTCAAGAACATGAAGAGTCAGGGAAGGAAACAAACTGAGACCGACAATGAAGTTTCTCTCGAGAAGACACAAAAAAAATAAAAAAAGGACTCGAGCGTTGCCAGCGTTGCGGGAGGAGTGGACTCGCTTCTACTTATGTATCAATATTCTTGAACACGGAAAAAGGCTAGGTAGTCACAACCACGTAAGCCTCCTTTGAAAGACATTCAATCAACCAACAGTTCCAATTCAGTTGGTGATCCGAGCCGGGGTGAAGGCTAGTATTAACCAGACAAGCCAGACCTCCCCGAAAGGTTGTAAAATGAAACGGAACATGCCACGGTCAGGACATACAATACACATCCAGGCGTCTTCATTATGTCTCAAACCCCACCCCTAGGCATTCATTGAATGGGAGGATCCCAAGAGGACTGTTCAATGTAATTTCCATGTTTTGTAATGCCTTTAATAATTTAGCAAACAGCCTTTCGTAGCTAATATAAAGACCTATTGGACTGTCCCTGTCCGCTTTATTTTCACGAGCAGATCGCCCCCTTATCAACCCCCGAATTCTCCTCAATCAACAAACAGTAAACCACCTCCCCCTGCCCTGCCTCACGCCTCTAACATGTCTCTCCAACCTCTTCCCCTTCTCCGCTACCACCTCCTCCTCATTTCCACCCAAAAACTTGCCCCTTTCTTCTTCAATTCCAAAGACAACAGTATCCACCTTGCCCCAATCCACCCTCCAGTCTACTCTATCGCCTTCTCTGATGTCTCCTCCTCCTCCTCCCCTTGCCATCCCGCCAGGTTCCATACCATCCTGATCCAAATCCCCGCCTGGGCCCCTAGTCACCGCCCATAAAGCCTCCCACCACCCCCCCACACCCTCTTAGGTCTAACCACTCCAGTCTGTACCAAGCTCTGCTCAGCCTCCTTAATACTAGGATGGCCTCTGACCAGTCATTATCTAGCGAGTGGCTGTAGGGGCCCGTACCGCCGTATTGCACCCTTCTCCCCTGGGCGGTGACGAAGGATGTGTATTTGGCGTTGGGGGTGAGAGAGGGTTCGGGCCAATTGGCTAGCGATAAATGGGTGAGGGTGGGGTGGTGGGCGGCGAAAGCGAGGAGGTGACGCCAGGAGGGTAAGGGGTGGTTACCTGATGTACCCGGGGTGGTGAAGGTAGAAGACGAGAGAGGGTTAGGAGGGAGTGAGAGCGAGAGGTGTGTTAGGTTGGGTAGGAGAGGGCGAGGGATTTGGGTGGCTTCGGGTTGGAATTGGTCGTCTTCGTCGGCCGAATCTTCCCAGGATTCTTTTGGTTCGACGGTTTTCAGAGACACGGCGGTACGGTTTTGGTGGCGGAGGGTTTGGGAGGGAAGAGCAAGTTGGTGAGCTCGTGGAGGGAGAGGGAGGTGCCGATGGAATGAGAGAGGTCGAGGTGGTGAAAGTCTTTATTGGCGATGCTGGGATCTAGATAGTCCTCTTCTAGCAGCTCGGCGTCTTCGTCATCGTCGTCTTCTTGCTTTTGTGGAGGGAGGAGAATGGCTTTGAGGTCTGCGAGGGTGACGTGGCCGGGGTCCCTCCATATGCTGAGATAGGCCACTAGTGCTTCGCGGAGGTGTGTGGGTAGATGGTAGAGATGGTAGTGACAGTACTCTCTTTGGAAATCCCAGCTGCGTGCGAACTGCCGGAGGGTCAAGTCGACTAGACTACCTCTGGCCGGAAGGTTCAACTCAGGCAACATATGCCGGTCAAGGCGGCGTCCTTCTGAGCCAGACTGATGAGGCACTGTGGAAATCATTCCGTGTGCCGGCCGATTCAGCCAGCTCTGGGGCGGGGCCGGACCGGGAGGCAGCCTTCTACCGGAGGCATCCACACGGGGTCCACCCCGGCCCCGACCCGGACGCGGCCTAGGCGCCGGTGTCTCGGGTAGCTGGAAAATGTCCCGGATGACCGGTGGCACCGTGGGCCGAACATCTAATGCACCTTGAGCATTGCTATTACTGTTCACACCCAAACGGCGCATTTCAGCGAGCAGCTGGTTGACACCACGACTTTCTGATTCACCTATAGTCCAGCGTGTTAGCACAACAAGTAATGCTAGATAGACTATGCTCGCCCTTCTTGGCATCCATCACCGGTGTATGAACAGTCTCTGCCAAGGACGACCGGGCGAGGCTCGAGGAACACGATGGCTTTGCGGGTCATGCACCCGCCCATTCACCGGATTAGACAGCCAGACAGGGTAAGGCAAAGAAAGGGATGATGGGAGAATGAGACGAGGGATGGGATTGACGGGCTACACAAGAGAGGGTGGTGGTGTAGCAAGTTCAGGTAACGCACCATTGTGGCTGCCGGCGCCCGCAGCGGTGGAGCTCAACGAAGCTGGAGCAGTCGACTGCGGTTTGGAATATTGTTTGAACTGGAGTCTCTTCTTCGGCATTAGGTAACCTTGCAAGTGGTTGGTCGTCTCTTCTTGTGCTTCGAAAACCCAAGAAACGAATCTTGAAATGACTAGTACCTCTACTCGGGGACAGATGTGTGGGTAAGGCTGTAGTTTCCTGCAATGCGTAGCTTCTCCTCCAGGGCAAATTAAATGCGTACTCTGGAGGCCCGATGTCAAGGACACTAAACAGTCTGTCAAGCTACGACTGGCCTTTGTGATATTTGCCTGCCGTGAGGTGACTTGGTACCTGGAAAATGTCAAGCTTGATGTTGTTGCTGTTATTGCTGCTGTTATTGTCGTGTAACTGTGCTGAGGTATAATTTCACACGTACGTACTCGAATAGAGGCGGGTACCTTGGGGTTGGATGTTGATTGCATAAACAAAGAAAGAAAGAGATGCCGTTGTAAGCAGAGAGGAGGCTCGCAGACCAGACCAGACCGATGAGTCGTCGTCGCCGCCTGCCTCCAACAAAGCTGACCAATTGCGCGCTGTCCTCCAGGCGGGCAACGACGATATGGGGCCCTGCAGGCGCGGTTATGGATCACGTCGTGGATGGCAATGGTGCAAATGACTGTATCGTGTGCAGTGGTGGATGGCAACTTCCCATCGCATGCAAGGTATTTTGAATGGATCAGCTTGGGTACGTCATCCAACCACTCAGGGCAAAGTCAGAGGATGCGCTTGATGATACCTAATCATCGGGAAGGAGTAGGTCTAGAAAGAAAAAAAAGAAAAAGGAACATTCAAGGTGAGGAACGGCACGGGCAGGCAGGCAGGCAGGCAAACACGGAGGCCAAGACTTCTCGCGCCTCCAGCTGCGATGCCTCTGAGTGGTCGAAACTGCTGAATCCCGGGCGAAAAAAAAGGCCCTGAACGGGTCCGGGCGCTCCCAAACCAGGTCCCCAAATGCAGGTCATGCTTCCGGACATGGGCCACCTGCATGGGGTGTGCTGGGGCCCGTGCTGGAAGCCCACCTTGAAAACCGTTGGCCATTGCCTGCCCTGTGTGGTTCCCCCATTCCGGGCTGTCGCGGGCCCTGGCACCGCCATCATCAGTGTACAGAGGTCGGGGGTGCATGTTTTGATGACTTCCACATTTCTCCAGCTTTCGTTTCTTTGGTGGCTTCACCTCCTGCCCTTCTAGAAGCCACCCTCGCACAAAACAAACCCCGTGGACGACTAGCTTGGTTTGAAGTGTCTCGTAACCTTACAGCTTGCAGAAAAGACCGGAGAACAATCCGGAAACTAACTGGAGAAGCTAAACCGTCCATGGAAACCAGAAAGCAGGAAGAGAAGGGAAAGGACCATTCAAAATCCATTCGAGTAATGTTGGCGCATCGCATCGGTTGCCCTTAAAGACCCTTGATATCCCTCATTATCTTCGGAAAACTCTCGTCTACCATTTGCGCAGCCCTCCGCAAATGGGGATTAGCTTGGCTTCCGGAAGCCTTCCTTCGATAAGCCTCAAGATGGGTGGCTTGATCTGGGCTGATTTTAGGGTTCTCTTGCGCCGAATATTTGTCCGCGACTATTGCTTCACATAGACAACAGTCCGATGAGAAGGAAGCCCCCCCAAAATATCTCGGGATTGCCAATCATGTGAAGCGAACTGAACGACGCATGCCAGCTCAGTCGTCAGCTTGCAAGACCCCTGATTATACTATTCGTGACCGAAGGCCTCCATCCCGGATCCGACGACATAGCCAGCAATGGAGATGATCCCGGATGTTTTCCTGCACTTGCTGATTCAAACAACATTCTGCATCTTCATATTGGAAGACCGACCAGGTGGGTGATGACGGCGAAGCGCCTATGAGAGCCCCGGCATGTTCGCGCCCTGATCGGAGCGTGATCTCGTGTCCGGACCTCGCATGCATCAAGAACGAGGCGCCTATCCCCCCCTCTCATCATCCGTCTTCATGTCGGTGCTATTCTTAGTTTTCAAGCTAAAAGGTCTTCCCTCCTTGGAGCATCCTTTACGAATCGGGTGTGAAGGCTTGCCCATCTTCCGTGCTCGTCGTGGTGCCATGTTTGGCGAGTTTCGAGGCATCAGGAGGTGTCGCTCCAACGGAAATCGTGAGTAAGCTGCCTCAATCAAGATATCTCTTGCATGGCAGGCATCCAAGCTTTCCGTGCAGGTACCAGCCATCACGAAAGACCTGGTTACCTGATAGTGTTCCACAATCCATGCACTAGGAGGCAAAGATGGTCTGGACTTTGGAGGCATACCCGTATGCTGATTGCAGCTTTTGCTCACCTGCCTTTTTCTGACGTTATCAACCATCACCAACGCCTGTTTGTCCCTTCGACTTGGTGGTGACTTACGGACTCCGAGGCTTCCGAGCCAGACTGGGCAACGCTAGATTGCTGCTTCATTTGATGATGGACAAGTCAGGGTGGTTTCTGAATCTTGTCTCACCCCGAATCCACGGTGGACAACAATCAACCAACTGACGCCCCAGCCCCTGCGCAATCCCAGATAGCCATTCAACCACCCCCCCAGCGCGTCCACACAAGACTGCTTCTGCCATAATCGGAGACACATCGGCGCCGTGTTACACCCTAGACCATGTTGGTGAGACTAGCAGTTCCCTGACAGCAGGCCACGGCCTCCCATGAGACAAGCAGATCATCGTCCGATTAATGTGTCAAGCGTAAAGTTCGAACTGAAAGCCTGTCACACACATTACCACGGGTCAAGTGGGGAATACCATCGAGTAACCATGATCTACCGTCTTGAGCGACATAGCTGACGGGCCGAGATATGAGGCGTGTAGTGACATGCTTGTGGGACAGACAAATGCGGATGCGGTTTCGAGACAAAAGCAAGAAACGCAGAGGCCGGAGGCTCATGGATTTTCATCACAGGCCCATGAAATCAACTCGCGACTTCCACCCGCTTCGGAGTATGCGCCACGTAGGCACCCAGCCGGTCTGAGATCATCATGGGGGACGACGGTATTTCGCTCCTCAAGGAAGCCTGCCTTGCCAAGCTCTTTCTTGTGATAGCCTCCTTATCCACCTTGGGCTAGATCGAGAGAGAGCCCACCTCGGTCACGGCATGACGCTTGCGGCGGTGCAATCTATGGTTCGTCTCGGCGGGGGCATTCGGTGGCAAAACAATGCGGTCCTGTCTGTCGTGGCATAGTTGAACAAAAAACAAAAAAGTCTAAAGGGCCGGATTCGGAAGGGGTTAGCGATCGAATTTGGAAGTCGTAGCAAAAACAAACCTAGATTCGGAGACCAAGACGATGTTTGAGCAACCTCTGGCAAACTCAAATTAGCCCGAAGTGCCCTCAAGGAGCGTCCAAGCACCACAGATAACTAGCCCCTGGCTCGGTAGTTGTAGCGGTCGTGGACTGAGGAAACCCGTCTGCAGCGACTTGCGCAAGTTCGGGTATGTGGTGACCGCTCCCAGAACGGTGGTCTCGTACGAAGCTCCTTATTCTTGCCAGTCCACGGTCCAAATTGCGCGAAGGGAGGAGAAGGGCCCGGGACGAAAATGCAGACAGCTCCATGCTTCAACGCCTTACTGCCGTATCCAGTCAGTCGCTGAAAAGAATGACCGGTGATTGCCCGATTGAAAGGACCATGACGGAGATGTCGATATGAAGGCACGTACCAAGCGTCGGGATGTGTCTGTCCAGACGTCGGAGTCGAGTTGGGGTGGGAAATGGCAGACACTTCTATGGAGAGGCGGCATGGTTACACCTGCGCCCTTTTTTTGTTTGTTGATTGGACAATCTATGGTCCCTTCGAGTAGGCGGGCAACCGAAGCTATCAAGTATGGTAAGGGTGTAGTGAACGGATCGTATGTAAGCTCCGAAGCCTGTTTGAGTTTTCGTACGTCTGCCTTTCTCGACACGTTTGCTGTGGGGCTGGAATATCAGATACCCATGGTATCAGCAACCCGTTGATGGCCATTCGCAGGAGATTCCGGCCATGCTGGACGCAAAGTCCAATGATGTTCTTGTTGGCCGCACTGACCGGATAACAGGGTCATGGATATGAATTGTCGAGGATTGCAAAGCCAACTCGCTTGTTGACCTTTGCTGGGGGTTGGGCTCGATTACCCCTATTGACCACGCGCAAAGGACCTGTTGAACCGATGTGCTTCCCGACTGCTCCCAGAACCATGTGGCTTTATGATCTACATCGTGAGCTAAGTGCCAGGCTGGAAACATAGAACAACTGAGAGACCGGCAGTAGATGTGCTAAGAAAGCATATGGTGCAAGCATCACAGGTAGGTGGCCTACCCTGGAGTGTGATTGTACATCTTGGGAAGACGACGCCCTGAGATCTGATCAAACAATCCTCAAACACCCTCAGGAGACTGATCGCGGACAGACTGCCTAGACACTCAACAGTTAGGGGCCATAATATGCCGTCTGACACCAAGAACACGGCTCGTAATCTTACCTTTTGTTTGGGTGTCAAGTAATGGAAAGCTTTCTCAGCATCATGAGCTCTCCGTGTTAGCCAGACTTGTCACATTCTGCTGTAACCAGACTTTAAACAATCATTGGGTAAACTGTCTGTTTCCCAATCCATCTTGGGGCCCAACTGGTGCCGAGGGACTTGACACCATCAAAGCGTAGTGTTGTACCGGCCGTGACGGCTTTGTACCTGCTCGTACCGTTGTGTTGAAGGTGCCCGGGAACCTCCGGGAACCAACCGGGAAGCAGCTTCTCTGTCCCAGATAGGCCAGAAGCTCATGAGTGCCTATAGCCAGGACACGGATGGGTCACACTCGTTGTACCTCTAGCAGATATGCCGAGCCACCTGGCATGTGTTTTGGGAGCAACTGTTTGTGCCTAACAGCAGATACACCATGCCTGTATGCCCGGTAGAATTTCATGATTCGAGCTCCGCGCTGTCAGCCATTGTTAGTGGCGGGCTCAACATCCCGTAGATGCCCTGCCGTACAGCGTAGAGGGTGGAAAGGGTCCTGGATTCTGATGTAGGCGGACGAGTCCGGCGACAGACATCGAGAGCC